ACTGCGGCGGTGCCGGCCTCGGTGGTGCCGCGCCATACCCTCCGCCATACCCTCCACCATAGCTTCCGCTATTCGCAAACCCACCACCACCCATGCCGAGAACGGGCAACGTCGGCTGCCTCATATCCCCCGTCGGCGGCCGGGACAACAAGTTCTCCCTGCTCAAGTTATCACTCATCATCCCCAGCGGTGTCCCGGGCGTGATGGGCCGGTACGCGGCTCCGTTCGCGTTGGCCGCGCGGGCTGCAAACATGGGGTTCAAGTTTGCCGCCCCCTTCTCCGGGTCGCTGCCTCCCGAGTAGCGGTCGGGCGAGGTCGACGGGAGAGGCGGCACGGGCGACTTGGTATCGATGCCGTAGCCCGTCTTGCCGATCGAGAAGGAGTCGGCTGTCTCGGTCGACGAGCTCGTCTGAGTGCGGTCGATGAGGAGCGAGTTGCGCGCGCCGAGGGAGGTAAGTGTATCCCGTTGTTGGGTTTTCTCTGTCAGGGTATCAGTATCATGAACTGAGTGGTGAGCGATGGAAGACAACATACCCATTTCCTTGCGGCGCTTGCGGTGCGGGTTCTCCTTGCAGCATGCCGAGATGGCGTTCCAAGCAATGAGGATGGCCAAGATGCCCGTCAGAGCCGACTGCACGGCGATGAGGACCACACCCGTTACGGTCTGGGTGGTTTGAGCAATGCCAAACTGCTCGACAAAGACCAGGATGCAAACCACCGACAGCACACGGACGACCTGGATGACGATGTTGATGACGTTGCTCGACTTGCGTTCGTATGGTCGGCTCCAGATGAGGAGGATCATCATGATGGCCTCAATGATCAGCTGGATGATGGTTTGGAGCATACCGTGCCCATCAGCAGCGGCGAGACAGCTGCCCTTGGCAAACATGTAGACGATGGTGGGTACAAAGATCCACCAGTAGTCCTTGCGATAAGACTCGTAGAACAGGCTGTACTTGACCCAGATGCTCTTATCCTCGTAGAGACCGGTGATATCGCCCTCCATCTTTTTCAGCCTGTTCGCCGTGCTCCAGATCTTCCAAGAGAAGAAAGCCAAGATGCCCGTGAACAGAGCGAGTGTGACGCCAGCCAGGGTCTTGGCAACATAAGAATCGCCCTGGGTGAACTGGAAAACGCAGTAAAGTACCCAAACGCCGTAGAGCAGCAGAATCAGGGCAGTAATCGCGCGTCCGATGGAGCCCCAGTAGTGCTTGCGGAAGCCGGACAACGCCTTCGGAAAGCTGCCGAACAGAGCCCAGAACTCCAAAATAACCTTGACAAGCAGGATGCCAACCGCGATAGCGGCAATAGCAATGGCGACGACCAGGAGTACCGTCATGAATGTGTTCGCTGATGGGATGCTGAGCTCTTGCACATACGCCTGGATACCCGAGACAGCCACGCGGATGCTCTCCGGAGACTGCATGCCGCCAGGTTCTGCCGTGGCGTTTACGCTGGTCTCGATTTGTCGCGAAGCAAGGACCAGAAAGTCGTCAACGGCTCTCCGAACCTTGATGGTGCTTGTCGACCCATCCGCGTAGACTAGGGTCGCATTTCTGAGAAAGCTCACGTTCATGTGGGTGAGATTGCCTCCGGTAGCAGCGCGGAAGCTATCGATAGACGTTTGCAGCTGGTTCCAAGGAACCAGGCCCGTCGAGAAGCCAAAGTTCTTGGCGAAACTCCGATAGACGGGAGGGTAGTTGACCGACATCATACCGTTCATAGCCATGCCCTGAAACCACCCAAAGACCTCGGTAAAGCTTGGACTGATGGTTCCCATACCACCGGCTGTGGTGCTTCCGCCGATGGCAGCACTGCCTCCGGCAAAGGCCGCACCCGCTGCCGATACACCCGTCAATACCAAAGCCGCGCCGGCCACGCCGGCAGCTACATATGATACTGCAGGTACACTTGCTGTTTTGCCGTTGTTCACGGCAGACTGAATGCATGCAACCTTGACGCCTGTGTCTTTAGAGATAAGCTGCAGAGTAGCCATAGCTGCAATATCGGGGATCTGGAATGCTATTGCGGGAACCAAATCTGCGAACTGGGCAGGAATGGCTTGTGTCCCCTTGGCAGCAAATGTCCCGACGGGAACTACCGAGTGTAAGTAGGTGACTTGAAGGGCAGCATAACAAGAACATACCGGGACAGAGCTGCTTCACAAAGGTCCCTAGTGAGCAGGGATCGAATGTGTTGGAGTAGATTTGCTGGCCGTATGCCGTGACGTTCAACATCGCCGTCACATTTTGTACCTGAGTACTCGTCCCTGCCACATCGAATGTGACTGTCTTGTTGTCGTTGTTGTAGCTGATTTTAACTCTCTGCACCGAGACGGCAGCCCGAGTACCGTTTGTGGTGCAAGTGCTGAAGCCATCGGTTTGGAGGATGTCCGTGCTGACAACACCCTCGACCAAAACTAACCCGGCCAACGACGCGCCCAAAAGACGAGCCTTAAAACCTCGTATCGCCATATCGTCCCACCCTCGAATGTGTGTCGTTCCGGAACCGTCGATGGAGAGTGATGTGAATATCGACCTCCCCCGGGCTAACTTGGCCCGTGTCCCAAACCTGCGTTTATCCTATCTCTTTCTGATATCACTGCCTTATGGGTCCTGTGAGTTTGGTTTTTGTTTAAAGTCGTCGATATGTAAGTTGGTCTTCAAGACATGGAAAATAGTCTTCGAAACCGGTCGGTAACGTGAACGAGGGGCAAAGCGCCGAATGTCAATATAATCAAATCATGAAGAAAAAAGAACACGGCCGAGGATCAACCTGGAACGAACGGAAAAGAAGGCAACAAGTTGCCGTTCACTCAAAGCACCCAACCAACGAATCTCGAGATCGACTCCGAGGATGAGCTGTTGAGGAAAAGGGCACCCGAAGAGAAACGAAAGAAGGGTGACTAGAAAAGGCAGAGGATGGGCAGAAAGAGAGGGCACGACAAGGTAAAATGGTACCCCCCAAGCGGGTATCTGAAACGGGGCTCGATGGGGTTCCAGAGTGCCAGTGACGGCGATGCCAGTCGGTCAGTCGGTGGCAGCGCGTGGCGGAGGGGGTGCGCGGGGAGGGGTTCCCCTGGCGAGGAAATATTCCAAGGGCCACCAGAGAGTCTCTCTCAGCTCCCTCGCAGTCCTCGCCGCGCAGCGCCTCATCGAATCGACTCGCGGCCGCATTCGAGTGTGTCCCGCTCCAATTGGCGAACCGACGACAGCGTGCTACGGCGGCCGGTGGCGCAACCCGCGAGAAGCAGGGGCTGCAGCGATCTTCCAAAGCCAGTCGGTCACTGGTATGCAAGGGGAGGGAGGCGACCGCGGCGACGAGCCAGAGCGAGCACAGCAAAAGGGCCTTGAGCGGGCCACGAGGGGTTGCATGTCGGCCAAGGAAAGCCCTCCCGACAGAGGCCATCTGAAACGGTAGTGGGAAAAGGGGGGGGGAGGGGCCGCCTGGTTGGGCGGCTCTGTCACTGGTCCATTTCCTCTTGGCGGCTTCTCATTGGCTCCCTGCCGTCTTTTCAGAGAGCTCGTAGCGAAGGCGCCACCGGGGGACATCAGTCTTGGGCGGTCCATTGCCACATGAAACTCGAAGAACAGCAAAAAAGCCAAAGACACGATGTCTTGGTCTTGTTTTCTTTTCCTCTGACGAACGTACAGGTGGGGGTTCTTGCACATCAGACAGCTGTCATTTCTGCGTGCACACCAACCTCTGGCCAAAAAACCAACCTCCAACTTGCATCTGCTGTGTCACTTTCCCACATATTTCCGATCCCGATTCCGAGATCAACACGATGACCAACTAGCGACAGCGAAGAGTATGACGGGCCCAGCCTACGACTTACACCACGTTAGCTCTGTGCTCTTGTTTTGGAAACCTCCCCTCCCCTGCGTTCACACATGCACACATCTCGGACCAGGCCAGTGGATGTGACCCCCGGTCGAGATCGCGAGGCACAAAGTGCGTCAGGTTCATGCGCGAGCCAAAGACCCAGTCGCAGGGCGGGACCTTACACGGGAGCGTGTGCTTTTTTCGGCTCCCGCCCTGAAGTCGTCCTCCCCTCAATCTATCGAAGCTGTTTCTCGAACCGCCATCGAAAATTCCCATCCCTTTGCTCTTGCTGACAACGTCAACTTTTTGTCAACCACTTATACACATCGTCACTTACACAACTCATTTCCCATCTCACCACCAAAACAACCACGTCAAACCCTCCCTATCACCTCGCAACCAGCCCAATTCTCATTCTTTACTGCTCGCCTCCCCAATACCTGCCATCCCGTTCGAAGGGTCAAGAGATCTCCATTGCCCCGTGCCTGGCCGCCATGCGTTATGCACAAAAACCCACTCTTCCCACCACGAGTGACTGATTCGCCTCCGCTACCAACAAACCCTCTCCTCTCATAGCAGTCCTTCATTAACATTAAAAACATCGGCTATATAGCTTCTGTCCAACCCCTCACACACACACACACACACACACACCAGGCTGTCCGTCCCGCAATAGCCTGCCCAGGTGCATTCCACATTCATTCCTGGCTATCATGACTTTTCCTACCCGGCGGGGTCCCGCTCGCCGTGATAGCATCACGAATTACCCAAGATGAACAATGTAGAAATCCGTAGCGAGAGATCCCCCCCTCCCCATCCTCACAATTGACAAATGCCAACCCACCCAAGCGAAGCTGCCGTAACCCCCTCAAGATCTCCCATCACAGTCTCACAATTCCACAACATCAGTCTGTGTACCATATCACCGCACCACCTCCCCCCATCACAACATGAACTCTCAACAAGGCCCAACCCTGCCCCGCCAGCCCTGCCCCGCCAGCCCTGCCCCGCCAACCCTGCCTATTCCTGCCAACCACACCGACAACCGGCAAGCCGGGTCGCCGTCCCAACATCGTCATGCATTCAGGCGGCGGCTCATACCCCTTGTCATTTTCAAGGGAACACAAAACAAGCAAAAAGCAAACAACAACCCCTCCAAAAGACCAATACTTTGCGTCGGCCGCGAATCGAACGCGGGGCCCATCGAGACAGATCGGGAACCGAACTGCAACGATGGATTTTACCACTAAACCACTGACGCTTGTTGAGTTTGTTGATGGAGATACCTGCGCGGAGTCCAGCTCAAGACGAGGCGGCTTTCTGCTCCGCTGGGTGGGGAGAAAACCATACTCCATAACCCATCAAACTAGATGGCATCACAGAAACAAGCAAATAAACAAAAAATCAATCATTTCTATTCAGCCCCTACTTTGTCGTGTAGCTTTCCCCTCGTTAGGTAGGTAGCCCCATCTCGAAACCATGGTGAACCCAAGCGCCCATTCCTACTCCAGCTGCCCCATATTCAGTTCATATATTCGTCTCATCCCAGAAAAAAGCAAGTTCACAGCCTCCTAAAATTCCGCGACGCCTGAACGAAGGAAAACGAGGAGGTGAAATCTTAGTCCCATGCGCAACAGTCAGAAAACGAAAAAAAGGGAAGAAAGAACAGTCGTAAAACGCCGCGGGAGTTTATTTGCACCCCTCGGCCCGGTCAATTCCATCCCAAATCAACGACCGATTGAAGCTCCAAGCAAGGGAAAATATGAAGAAAAAAAATGTAAGTGTATAATACGTGGGTATAAATGTCTCCGGGAAGCCAAATTTTGCCACCAGATCGACTGAACGACCAAACCACCAAGTTTTGGATTAGAAAATCGGGTATCAAACGCCTCTCAACTGCGAAGAAGAAATACTCAGGACTACATCACCACCGAATCAACCGCCCGCCCCAGGCTGCTGGCCGTAAAACTGCCCCTGTGGCTGATGCGGTGAGTGCGCATATGGCGACACGGAGCCCTGCGGCGTATATTGATCGCCTCCGGCGCTATGCGGATCCATCATGTTGTTGCTATACACGTTGACGTTGGTGTCCTGAAGCCCGAGTGCGTTCATGGTAAACTGCTGATCAACGTCCGGCGTCACCGAGATATATTGAGGCGTTGTCATGTAGCTGCTCGTCGTCACTGGCATGCCGCCAGTAAACGCTGGGATATTGAGACTGGTAAACCCATGACTGACAGCATGGTTAGGTGTCTGGATATTTAACGGTGCCTGCCCCATGTTCTGTCTCATGTTCTGGCCCATGTTTTGTCCCATATTGTGGACAATGTTTTGGCCTATGCTTTGACCCATACTTGGAGACATGTCGCCAAAATTGTTGCCATAGAGGGATGCTTGGTAGCTGGGATGTACGATGGGATACATAAACGCATGCTGCGGCTGCTGCTGCTGCTGCTGCTGCTGCTGCTGCTGCTGAGGTGTGGTCGGGTACATGATGTGGCTGCCGCCTCGACTCATGGGTGGTTGGGCAACAGTCGGGGACGGGTCGTACTGAGGCTCAGATTTCGGGAAGCTGGCTGGGAAGGTCCGAGGGGGGGGTTCCTGAACAGGGCTGACGATAGTGTCGGCCTCGAGGTCCTTTCGCGCTACCAGCTTGAGGACTGGTAAGCTGATCTGTTCCATGTGTTTTGCCAGATGGACAGTCAGTTTCTTCCATGTCGGGAACGACCTTCCGCAAAACCGGCAGGACTCGGCGTGAGGCATGGTGCCCGTCTCTTGGTGGCACTGTTCCACCTTCTGCCAAGTCGGGTCCATTCCACCAGCGCGCTTAATGGCGGCCTTGGTCTTCACCTTTGGCTCGAGGTACTTGTGCTCACGAACGAGATGCTGTAGGAAGTTATCCCGACGATAACACACATGGCGACAGTCCTCGACATCGCAGTCCCACCATTCGAGATGGCGATGACCTTCGTTTTCGTGACGCACCCAATCCGCTTTTCTCTTGAAAATTTTCGGGTCTCTGCAACGATCCCACGTGCATGTGAAGGGTTGAACGTCCTCATGTACGTGCTTGGTCCAGTCTGACGGCTTCTGGAACTTCTTGGCTTGGAAACACAGCTGGCATTCAAATTCCGCGGGTAAAATGGTTGCCGGGGGCATGGGAATATCCGGAGGGAAGCTCTCCTGACTGATCACCCCGGGACCTTCTAGCGGCGTAATGTCTCCGTCAGAGCCATCATATCTTGCAGACAGGGGGTCGATGCCACGGTCATTCTTCGAGTCGAGGATATTTGCGCTGCCTCCAAGAGCGATACACAAGGTGCCACACGAGCAGTTCTTGGCCGCGGTGCACTGCAGATGCTTTACCCTCGCGTTGAGGAGACTCTTGTAACGAACACTTTGCTGATGCGCTATACGGTCGACTAGATAGGTGTTTGTGGTGACGAGCATGGGGTTCAGCTTCAGGATGTGCTGCTTGAAGCCCTCAAAGTTTGGCGTGATATCGTCGAATATTTTGTTAGCTTCAGTCTTCATTTCCGCGTCTTCATACAGTTCGTCGTCGTCATCGTCGTCATCGTCAGCGTCAGCAACGCTCGAGGCGTGATTGGCTAAAGATGCAACCGGAGGGCCGCCATTTTTTCTCCACATATCGGCGAGGCTGGAGGTCTGAGTTTTAGTGAGGTCTGACTTGCTGCGGATCCGGTTCAGGGGCTTTTTCACGCTGAGCGAGAATCCGCTTGGGCTCTTGGGTGTCGCCGAGGCGCTGACAGAACCGCTACGGGCATGGGTTGTGCCGATAGAGGCCATGCCGTTCCCCATGGCAAACAGCGCCGTGTTGATGCTCGGCACACCTTGTTTCTTGTTCCAACTTGACGTGCGGGTAGGCGGAGCAAGATTAGGCTCTCTGCGATTCTGGTCTCCTGAGGAATTCGTGCCAATAGAGCCCACCTCATCATTGTCAGCACGGACTCGTTTGTTGGCCGGAGTGCTCGGTTTCTTATTGACGAGAGTGCGAAGTTCCTGTAGGATGCTTGGTCGTCGAGTGTCTCCCCGGCTCAATGAGAGCTTCTTCAGAAAGTTCCCACTGATGACCCCTTCAACGTCGGCAATGCTGGGCAAGCTGCGGCGTCGTGTCCCCCAAGTTGCTGCTCTTGACACGATCGAATCATTGTCTTTGCACATATTGTTGAACCTCTCGATGGCAGCTTGAGAGCTCACTGGCTGGTGGTGTTTTGAAGGGTCGTCGAAAAACAAGATATTAGGGAACAGGGGCGCATCGCCCCAGTTCCGATTTTGCCTGATAAGCTCCACATCCTCTTCCGTGAACTCGCCCCCAGTCCCAGTGTAGTACAATTGACCAGGTACCATGTAGTTTTCGGTTTCCGCACCAGTTTCAATATCCCGATGGGGGAGGTTTTCATCAATGTCGCTGGGCTTCGGAGCAGGCTGTTCTCGAATAGGGAAACCGGACTGAGCCGGGGGTACGAGCACGGCAGATGGGGCTCCATGTCTGGCAACCCAATCGTCAACTTCTTGGTTCCGCTCATCTACCGTCCGCTTAGCTGCAAGCTCGTTCACGCTTGGAACTTCGGTAGGAGGGCGGTTTTCTGGATCCAAGCCACTCTGACCCGTGGTCTGATCCGGAATCCAGCGACCCGTGCCGTCGCGAAGCCGGGAGGAAGCCGGAATATCACGACTCTGGCGCCGATAGTCAGAGGCGTTCTGCGTGGTGTCAATGAATGTCCCTTGGTGGTGATCCGTGTCCAGCGGGTACGGAACTGAGGCGCCGTCTCTTCCCCACATCGAGATAGTGAGTCGGGGGCTTTGAGCAGACATGATAGCTGCCGCGGGCGCGAGGCCGTCGTCGCTGGTTTCTGGAGTGAACTGGTATCCGGACTGCTCGCTGTCTAAGGAAGGCTGCGTGGTGAGACTGGGGAGCTGAGCAGCAACAGGGTTGTGAGATAGTCGGGGGAACCTGGCGCGGTCTGCCTTCCTCTCGCCGCCGGGCGAGGTGGTATGTAATGATGGTGTCTTATCGGGGCTTAGCGGAAGGTACCCGGCATCCTGAGGCAGCTGAGATGTGCTGTCAAATGTCCTCTGCAGTGCTGGCGGCTCAACAGAGTTAATAAAATCGATGGTATTAAGGGGATCAATCAGTTGCGCATCGTCTGTGAGCTGAGAATACTGGTCATCGAGGAAAGCAGGAGACCCGCCGTCGAGCGCACCAAAGTTGACGCCAAAGAACGGGTCCTCGGACTCGCTGAACTCGCTAGATTGGTAGTTGATGCTGAGGGTGGAGGAGTCGGCAGGCGTATGTGTGTTGAGGGCGGGTGACGATGAGCTGCTCCGAAGGCGAAGCTGGGGAGAGAAGGCCGACAGGTGAGTGCCGGCACCGGGTGTGGTGGGATGGATGTCGTGCTGGCTGTCGTGCGGCGGAAGGCTGCGGGGTTCGTTCATCCGGTCTCGCCGGGCTGTAGGGTCGGCGACGGACGACGGGTAGAGCGTGTAAGTCGAAGACATGATCGCAAAGGAACCAGGTGGCTCCGTGTGTGTGTAAAGGACTTTTAAGTCAAGGGGGGGGCGCCCCATGGATATGGTAGGAGGAGTAGGTGCGCGCACGACTCCCCGGATGGCTCAGCGTGTGAGTGGGCAGGCAGTCATGGTCTTCTGTTCTGGGATGGGAAAAGACGGTGCGGTACGGTGCGGCTGCGTGGCGGGGTCTCTAGGTGCGTCTCGACTTGTTGGCGAGCTCGGCGTGTCCACTCAGAGCTCTCGGTTCGCGGCTTGACAGGTGCTTTTGGTGACGACAGATCGGCGCCCGTTGCGATCACTACTGTTCAATACGTCTCGCGCAAGGGGTGAGTTTCGGTGGGAATACGACCCAAGAAGAGCCGGCTGGAATCGAGGAATTGTGGGTGAAAAGGCTGGATTATCTTTAACTCGTGCGGCCAAGTCGAGGAAGCTGGGCCTGGGGATGTCGCGGGAAATTGGGGGCGAGGCGCAGAGGTGGCTGCGGTTCCGAGCCTGGCCTGGACGCTTGGATGGAAGCAACCGCGGGTCGGGTATAAGGTAGCAGGTGGAATGAGGTTGTTGGAGGCGTAGTTTTCTACCGTAGCCAACGGCCTTTAGGTACACTGGTGGAGCAGCAATGCGAGCGCAAAAGCTCGAGCAAATAGAGCAATTGTAGGAACCTGGGAGCTAGGAGTTGGAGAGCATTGTGTCACACAGCGACCGATCGCTAAGCAGCTCCCGTCCCCGCAG